TTATGACATTTTCTGTCTTATTATCTGTCCCTTTACTAATGGTTCCTAACATTCTGTAGCCTCTGTGTTGGGTTCAAGGATTTTAATTTCTTCCTTGTTGACTAGCTCAGAAACACTCCGCGTGGATGTGAATCAGATTAGCTTGTTCCAGAGCAGGGTGCCAAGCTTTTCTGACCCAAGTAGCTTCAGTTTTCTGCATGTTTTCTTTTGTCCCTGCCAGGGGGGAGACTGAGCTAAATCTGGCCATCTCAGCAAAGTGATGGCTGGGGAGGGGATAGGGTTGTAACTACTACTGTCTGAAGGTTGCCAGTGCCAAGGACTAGGGCGAAGGGAACCATGTAGGGCAGTGGTTCTCAAACTTTTGTACTAACCCTAAATTTAAAAACACTTTTTAATATATTTAACACCATTATAAATGCTGGAGGCAAAGTGGGGTTCGGGTTGGAGGTTGACAGCTTGCGACACACCCCCCCCCCATATAATAACTTCATGACCACCTGAGGGGTCCTGACCCCTAGTTAGAACCTCTAACGTAGAGGGATCCAAATGGAGAGAGCTGAGAGTCACTGGCCCAGGAGCTCTGAAACAATCCACTTGCACTGAGGGACTGGCAGGATCCCTTCCCTAAGGGGAGGATCAATCTTGCCTTGGGCTGTGGGATACAGAGGCCCAAGGATTGTTCAGAAACACTAGCATGGAGGGGAACACACAGGGACAGTTCTGTGGAGAGGGAGGGTTGAGGAGAGGGGTGTGAACCAATTAGTGCAGGGTTCTTGTGTGTAGCGGTTTTACAAACCCAAATCTCTATATTGTATAAAATTTTGCTATGGAATCTAAGCGGCTTTGCACTAGTTTCATTTTGACCTTCTCAGGGCTGCCACAGATGGGAAAAGGGCTAAACCCCGTCCCTGATACCCACTTCATCCTTGGGCATCTGCCCTATACACCTCTGCCCCCTCCATGGGTGCCTCCCCCATACACCCCCTTACCCCCATGCACCCCTGTCCCCCCTTACCCCCATACACCCCCTGCCCCCTCTAAGCCCCATACACCCCTGCCCCCCCTTACCCCCCATACACCCCTGTCCCCATACACCCCTGTCC